TGACCATGTGGGGTTTTGAAGAAATGTGGAACACTTTGGAAGGTTGGGCTAGAAAAGTGGTTGACTCCTGTAAGCAGAGCTTAACAAGCCATTCTAGTAGGGGCCTGGAAGAAAGTAGTGCTGAGAACAACATAGTTCCAGAGGGAAATAAGGACTTAAGCAGCAATTGGGATGTTTTAGCAAAGAGTCTGGCTGGAGTCTGCCCACAGCCAAAAAGCTTGCCTGAGGCTAAGGTGAAAAGCAATGGACTATTTTCTCTGGCAGAAGAAATTTCAAGGCAGCCTAATGGTGACATGGATATTAATGGAGAATATTATGCAGCTTTACAGTGAAAAGGAGAAAATGGGGCAGAAAGAAATACAGTTTGGATTGAAAAAGAGCACTATGAAGATAAATGTGATGGAAAGGATCCCATTGATAAGGAGATTAAAGTGATTAAGGAGATTAAAGTGATTAAGGAGGGACCTAGAGATTCAAACTTAAACAATGGAGAGAGTGTGTCCAGGGCAAGATAATGCCCAGCTAAGCCTCCAACTTGTGAAAGGAAAATGCTGCAGGGGCCATGGAAGAGAAAAGCTTCTAAAATGGATAAAGCAGGCTGGAGTCCATCCCAAACTTGCAGTGAGACTTGGCAGTGTCGTTCACCTGGTGCTGGCTTTAGAGGCATGAAAGATGGAAGAGTGAAAGGGTCATCAATTCCTCCTCTGAGGTTTCAGAGAGCCTCAGAGGCCAAGCAGCATGAAGTAGGGATTCCCCTGCCTAGAGAAGGCCCTGATAGGCCATTGCGTGAAGCTGTGAAGGTGAAGCCTGGTTGGCAATGGAGACCCCGAGACAATGTTCCTGATGCAGAGCTGTGAGGCATCTGTCAAGAAGACCTGTATACAGGGAGTGGTACCAGCACAAGGGAGAGATGTGAGCTGCACGCAGCAAAGCTAGAGAGGCTGAGCACTCTAAGCCCTTTGGAAGTAAAGTCCCAGAAGGTGGACGTGGAGCTACTGGATTTGGTGTTTGCCCTGCTGGTTTTCGGTCTTGTTTTGGCCCAGTACTTTTCTTACTATCCCTCCAGTCCTCCCTTTTGGAATGGTAATGTGTATTCCATTCCACTGTAATGTTGGGAGTATGTAATTCGTCTTTTGATTTTATAGAGGCTTACAGTTCAGAATTTACCTGAGTCTCAGAATAGACTTTGGACTGTGGACTTTGGAATAGTAGTGAGATTGATAATGACTATGGGGACTTTTAAAGTGGGACTAAAATGCATTTTGCATTTTATACGGTCATGAGCCTATGGGGGCCAGGGGGTGGAATGTGGTAGTTTGAATGAAGGTGGTTTGAATGAAAATGTCTCCCATAGGCTCCAAGTGTCTGGACATTTTGTCCCCAGGTGATGGCACTGTTTTGGGAGGTTTTAGAAGGTGTGGCTATCCTGGAGGAAGCATGTCAGTGGGGGTGGGCTTAGAGAGTTCTTAAGCCTTGCCAGATCTCCAGTTGCCTCTCTTGCTTCCTGTGTCCGCATGAGGTGAGAGCTTAGCTTCTGCTGTTCCTGCTCCAGCCACCTCCAGCCACCATGCCTCCCCACCAAGATGCACTGTAATTCCCCTGAAACCGTAAGCTCAAATAAATTCTTCCTTCTATAAATTGCTTGGGTCAGTGTTTCTATCACAGCAACAGAAAAGTGACTAATACATAAGCATTCCTTCTGATGTTTATTTTCCTATAATTAAGCAAAAGTGTTAGTACATAAGGCAATTTGGCTACCTAACTGAGAGGTCGTAGACTCTTTCCTGATGCCCTGACTGCTTTGCATAAGGACTGTTAGTCAAATGGCCAAATGGGCTGCTCTTATGACAACACTGAGTGCTTTGAATACCACACACCACACAGCAAGTGATTGCAGCCACTTGCTGTTAAAATAGGAGGAGCCCTGTTCAAAAGTGCTTCAAACAGCTTGCAACAAACTTTCCCTTTGATGCTCCCCCAAAGCCAGAGGAAAGGCGTTTCCCTGGTGGTCTAGCAAAGGGACTCTTTGGACTGGTGCCAAAAGGACAATGACAGGATTCACACAAACGCAGTTCTTCATGAAGGCTGATACTGGAGCACACACACTATTCTGACCATATAAGCAGGCTTGTTGGGTTTGTATTGTGACTCAGCTGGAGACCTCTTCTGGTATTTCCCCCATGAGGTTGCGACATTAGACCCAACCAACCGCATCTCTCTAGAGGTTCTTTCTTGCCTGATTTTAGAGAGCAAGAGGAACTGGTCACAGGAAGGAAGAAGTAGTAATACTAACGACCAGTGGCAGGACCACAGCAGAGCCATGAGAGCTGCTGTGCAGACCCCAGCGGTGGTAGAGCCACAAGGGCCACCAATGGCTCAATGGTGGCAGTGGCTGGGCCACAGAAGAAGCCAAAAGCCTTGATGGGAATAGTGGTAGAGCCACAGGAGCTATCCATTGCCGTGATGACAGCAGAGATGAAGCCTCAAGAACAGTAGCAGAAGCCGAGAGCAGACAGTGGGGAAGATGGGGGAGCAGAGGCCACACAATAGGACTTGAAAGCTGCAGAGCCAGCAGCTGCAGCCTTAAGGGCCAAGGGGCTTAGCCTAACAGAAATGCAACACTGGCTGTTGTCAAGGCCTTGGGAATCCTGACCTCCCAGACCTACACAAGAACTCTAACACTCGATCATCTCCTAAATGCATGCATAAAACCATCCCATAGGTCAGGGCCCCCTCTCTATGGTTTAAAGTCACCCGACTCACATCCAAGTGCACCCTCACACAGATAAGTCACCAACTGTCTCAGGCCACTCACCCTACTGACAGAACCACCGAGTCCGTCTCCCGGGCCAGGCAGCTGCACAGGCTGTGGCAAAAATCTGCAAGAGAAGATCAGTCCAGAGCGGCCATGAAAAGAACCCAGTGCTTCCCACCACAGGCCCAGGGATAGCGGCTGTCCTGATGGGCACAGGACTGACATCCTCTCTCTGTCCCTCTGAGATGGACAAAGCCACACATCCCCTGAATATCAGGCTTCAGTGGCTCTTACAGCTCACTTTCTGGAACACTGACTTTTTCAGTCAGTGAAGACCTGAAAGATCTGGGGATTCAAAACAGACACAAAATGGAAAGGATAGGCATACATCAAGCGACAACCCTAGAGTGTTCATAATTTCATATGCTTGTATCAATGAGGCGATAAATGTTGGCTGGATGGGACAGGTCAATACATAGTCCTATGAGACAGGTCCAAAGTAGCACACACTGCCTCCGTTTGGAACGTAAAACTTACCAGGTGTACTTCCAACTCGGCCATGCCCCATCCTAAGCTGCTGGCACAGAGGGACCAGGAACTCTTACTTGTTTTCTTCCCAAGATACCAAAACCCACTGAATCAGCATCACTAGAAGGAGGACCCAGGTAGCAAAATGTGTCCTTTTATAAATACATGACACTAAAGAACATTTTGTTTCATATGTTTTGTTTCTTTACTTGCCTGCTTGCTTGGCTTTTTGTGTACTATTGTAAGACCCAGAGATCCCCCTCATTCAACCCCTCCTGACACCCCACTGATTGCTCTTTTCAACTTCTGTGTAATGCTTGAAATGCACACCTGCTGCTACTCCTCCCCTGCTTTTCTCCTTCCAGGAAACTATAGATTAGATAAGCCCGGGTATGAACACTGCTCTATAGAGTAAAAATGAAGACTCCTGACCACACAGATGGCCAGCACATTCCACAACCCTGAGAACAACACCCGCCAATAAAAGATCTCCACGACCGCATCCTGTACAACCAGTTTAAAGATGTGTTGGTGCATGTGGGATTCTTGGACCAACCACAAAGTGACACTGTTATTCCCCTCCTCCCTTTGTCTCTAACCTATAAAGAGCCCCTTCTTCCCCCACACGGGGCTCTCAGCAGGGATCCGTTATATCGGTGCAGTCTGAGAGCCAGAGCTTAAGCCAGAATAAAATATAAGCCTTGCTTTTGCATTTTTGGTGTGTTGGGTCCTCGGTGGTCTTCTTGGGGGTCCTGTGAATGAGGTATAACACCATGTGGCCCAGTCTGACCCCAAATTTATGAACAGCTTTGCAGGGCTAACTCCTCCTCCTCCTTTGGTCCTGGCCTCAAATCTCAATGCTTTGGAGAGACTTTGACTGACAGAGGCACTGAGGTTCAATGACTGGGAGTCACTCTCTTTCCATCCCCACCCTGACCCCGAGTTATTCACATCTGGAACCACCTCCTAATTTGTATTCTCCTACATGGTCCAGGCTCTTCCTTTGACTGACAGGTCCAGGATAGCACAAACGGGGTCTTTCTTGTCTTTGGGTGTGACCCTGGTCCTGGAGAGAGTCTGAGGCCAAGAATATACTGAATAGATGTCTGTTGACCCATCTCTGCTTCATCTTTGGAATTTACCTTATCCTGTAGTACAAGCTGCTGACAACTTGGGGGTGGGGGCTCCCAAGGTCTTCCTGACAGTGAAGAAGGTCACATAGGCAGGGCATATTCCTTGCTAACTTGTAAATGAGAGATGACATCCTGGTAACTCCTTCAGCTATAGAGCAGCCATTTGTACCACCCTCATTCCAGAAGACAATGGAACAACTTTAAATAGGAGAAATTTTTCCCACACATGCATCTCTGAGTTCCTGTATTTGTACGTCCATCCATTCATTCATCCTTCCATTTGTTCACTTGTATATAAAACTTTTCCTGAAATTACTCACCCATCTATCTTTTGATTGAGTTATGTATGCATTTATTCAAAAATAAAAACAATAGGCCAGACTTAAGGGGTTCATTGGTGGATACGACACTGGTCTTTCCTGCCATCTTGGAGTTGCCATTATTTTTAAGAGGCAGGGGGTGCAGACAGATGGTAAACAGAGGAATACTGAGACTAAGAAAAGTCCAGGTTGTGATAAGTAGCACGGGCATTTAACAAGGAAGCTGGGGACCTGAATTTAGCCTCAGAATGGCAACTGAAGTTCTTAGATAAGATGTTGGGGGAAAACAAGGAGTAACCAGTCATGCCAAACTGATCTGGGAGAAGGTTTTTGAGCCTGGGCAAGCAGCCCAGTGTGCCTGCAGGGCAGAGAAGTTTGGGGGTTGCAGCATAGCAAGGCAGGAGGAGACACAGGTGACCAGAAGGGAGAGGTCGTTAAGGGTTACAGGGGAAGCTGGAGTGCAGCCATGGAAAGCTCTGAGTTATATTCTTAAGGACTCTTCTGATGGGGAGAGAGGACCTGACACGGCAGTGGAAACTGGAGAAAGGGGACCACTTTGGGGATGCAGAGATGAAGGTAGTGAGCAAGAATGGATGGGTTTTTCCCACGGTGGCCTGGCTGAACTGAGGGAAGCATGAGGCTTTTGGACAGAGAGAGATGGCCATGGCTCTGAGTAGGATGAAAGGGAGGAATCACATCCAATACCAGGACAACCTCGGGGGCATCACTGCCCCAGCCTTGGCTTAGACCAACACAGAAAACAGCCATGCAGGCTACACTACCACTGACTAATGTGAGCCCAAGCCCGCATCCTCCCTAGAAGAAGCTCCAACTTCTTTACTTTTTCTTTTACTCCTTCCCAAGAGGTCCTTATGGGAATATGTGTAAGACTCCACCTGTCATGAGGATCTTCCTTTTCCACCCCACATGAACATACTTACCCAGGCTACCCCACATCACAGCCCCTCCATGGAAAAAGATGATGCCTCGCTGGAGGTTGGAGGATGCTGCCTTGGGCTGAAACAGCCTCACAGGGATGGTCCCAAAATGCAAGTTGGTCACCACCAAGGTAGGATCTTTCCTTATTCTCATTAGGTCATGAATAAACCGAACAAACTTAGGCATAGAGCAAATTCTCAACTTCTCTAGAGTATTCCCCTGTGGAAATAAAGGAAGGAGAGTGACAGCTAGGGGACTGCAGGGTGGGTATGTAGACATTTCAGCCACTCACCACTGCCCAGGTGCATTCACCATTTCTCACTTGCCTCCTGCATGTTCTCATTGGGGATACCACTGACTGCGATCTCCGTCCAGATATGAGGTAGGTTTTCAGACTTAGTTCCCAAACGTCCTGGTCAAATGCTGCTGCTGCTGCTGTGATATGAGTGTCTGTGCCCTCTGAACTCACATAGAAATGTCATTGCTACTGTCAGTGTTAAGAGATGGCAGTTTAGCCAGGCGTGGTGGCACATGCCTTTAATCCCAGCACTTGGGAGGCAGAGGCAGGCAGATCTTTGTGAGTTCAAGGCCAGCCTGGTCTACATAGTGAGTTCCAGGACAGCTGGGGCTACAAGGAGACCCTGTCTCAAAAAGACAAAAAAAAAGAGAGAGAGACATCAGTTTAAGTGGTGATGAGGTGGTATCCTCATGTATTAAGTTTAAGAGAATGGGTTAAGTCTATTATGAAAGGGACTAGGATAGGTAACCCTGGAGCAGGCTCTAGGATTCTATTGCAAACTTGGCTGGAGATTGTTCATGTGATATTCTGGCAAAGAGCCTGAGTTCTGCCCATGTCATGAGAACTTGAGTGAAGCCAAATACAAGAATAAAGGATTAATTACTTTTTTCAATATTTTTTTATGTATATGAGTGTATTGCTTACATACATGTAAGTGCACCTGTGTTGTGCAATGCCCATGGAGGTCAGAAGAGGGTATCAGACCTCCTGGAACTAGAGTTATAGACAGTTGTGATGCACCATCTGGGTGCTGGGAACCCAGGTTTTCTGCAAGAGCAGCCAGGGCTGTTAACTGCTGAGCTATGGCTCCAGCCCCGCAGGATAATTTCCTTGACAGAGAAAGTTTTAAGACAGGCCAGCATTCGGGCTATGATGTGGTTAGTGCTCACTACTCTGATCCAGTTCTGCAGTGAGAGAGAGTAACAAGTAGAGTAAATGGATGTGAAAAGCGTTCCAATTTGGTAAAGGAAGGAGTTTAAAATTGGAAACAAAGCTAGAGCTGCTTAGAAACACCTGTAGGGCCAGGAAGATGGCTCAGTGGGTAAAAGTACCTGTTGAGACCCAGACAGAGAGACCCCATGCCCACAAACTGTTCTCTGACCTCCAAATGCATGTTGTGAAAGTTCATGCACACACACACACACACACACACACACACAAGTAAATAAATAAAATATAATCTTTTTATTTTTCTTTATTTTGTGTATGAGTGTATTGCCTGCATGTGTGTAAGTGCACCCGTGTCATGCAGCGCCCACGGAGGTCAGAAGAGGGCATCAGATCCCCTGGAACTGGAGCTACAGATGGTCGTGAACCACTGTGTGGGTGCTGGGAATCAAAACAGGGTCCTCTGCGAGAGCAGTCAGTGCTCTTAACCACTGAGCCATCTCTCCAGCCCCAAAATGTAATCTTTAAAAAAAAAAAAGACAAAAAGAAAACAATCATAACCATGCAAGATTAGCACAACTAAAAAGAGCCTTACTGCTCTTCATTGAAATGATGAGAAAGATGTCTTGGGACTGGGTAGATGGCTCAGCAGTTAAGAGCACTAGCTATTCTTGCAGAAGACCCAGGTTCAAATCCCTGCACCCACATAACAGCTAAGAACCGTAACTCCAGTTCCAGAAGACCCAATGCCCTCTTCATCCTATGCAGGCACTGCACAACATGGGTGCACTTAAACACACACAGGCATAACACTCATATACAAAAGAATAAAAATTAATAATAAATAAAGGTGTTCTTAAGGCAAGAGCCCATTATACAAAATTATCTTATAAAAACTCAAATCCATTTTAAAGGAGAGAGCCTACACCTAGTCATTTTCTTACCTGTATCACAAGAACCTCTAATATATGAATACAACCAGAGAGATGGCTCAGCAGTTAAGAGCACCGGCTGCTCTTGCAGAGGACCCAGGTTTGGATCCCAGCTCTCACGTGGAAACTAACAACCATCCATAACTCCAGTTCCAGGGGATCCAACAGCCTCTTCTGTCCTCCACAGGCATTGCATGACCTGGGTGCACTTACCTACACACAGGCAATACATGCATACACATAAAATAATAAATAAAAAATATTTTTTAAAAAAAATTGATAGACCAAGTATGCTCAAACAGAGAGGACCTCCTGAGGGAACCCCTGCCTGATTCTGAGAAACTATGGTTTGTAGCTGGGAATGGGTCTATACTTCATGGCCAACATTAGGCTGGCTATGCAGTAGCTTCATTCTTTGAGACCACAGATGCCAAAACCTGTCCCCGAAACTTCATCCCAAATGGTGGAGGATGGGAGTGCTGATGTGAGGATGGCAGCTAGGAAAATGGAGAGCATTAACTGTACATAGAAATCCCAGGTGTGCCCTCAGTGAGTCCTAGTATTTTGTGATAGTGTTTGATAGACTTGTGAAGAGCCATGAGCCTAATTTGGAAAACAATATAACCATAAATCCCTTAAAGTGGTCAACTGGTTCTAAATTGGCAGGCTGGCCTTGCTCTAGCCTTATCAACTGGTCACTCCCAGGACTGAAGGAGATTGTTTATGGATCCAACCTGTCTCCTTTAGTGCCCTAAGATAACTCACCTGTCTGAAAAAAATAGTCTTCGGGGAGAGGCCCTCAAGAACATCAGACCCTGGCACCAAGCAAATTCCTGCCGCTGTGTTCAGCAAGCTTCCTGTAAGAACCCTAACTTCCCTTCATTAGGTTGCAGGTACCTTCTTTCCATAGAAGAGTATCTGTCACTCATTGTGTTCCCAAAATAAAGGGACACATTCCTTGCCTATTGCAGGTCTGGCTCTGGCTCTTGATTCTAAATTCTAAACTCCTTCCTTTTTCTGGTCTCCTAAATCTAACAGTGTTAGTTGTCAACTTAACAGAAACTAGAATCAGCTGGGAGATTGGCCTCTGGGCCATTTGTGGGGAATTGTCTTCATTGTGTTAATTCTGGCGGGAAGACCCACCTGCTGTGGATGGTACCATTTCCTGGCTGAGATCCTGGGCTATGTAAGAGGAGACATGCATGCGCTGTTCTCTGTTTCCGGTTGTGGATATGGTGTGTGATAGTGTTCAAGTCCAGGCAACCCGAGACCCAGAAACCATAGAAGGAATTAAGTTGGCTAACTGCCAGTCGCCTGCAAGCTGACAAACAAGTTCCAGGAATTTGTGACCCAGTACATTGTGATCACTAGAACATGTTCCATACACAGGCTGAGAAGCATGTTCCTGATGCCCTGTAGCCGCAATGGGTTCCTGGAACCCTGTAACTGCAAAAGCGTGTTTTACAGTAGATGTTTTCTTCGGTAAGTTTCAGCAGGTACACACCCCACACCCTCCCTGAACAGCCCCAAACAGCAGAAAAATATTCTCTTTTTCTGCATTCCTTCCCTTTATGAACTGCCCCTCTGCGGCCATTAGGCTACTGACTGCACTCACTCCCAAGCTGAGCCCAGCACTGCCAACCCAATAAACTCATACTTTGCCAGAGTCCTCTCTGTTTCTGTTTCACAGTGATCCCAACCCCTGCCACCTTATTTTTATCTGAGTGTGACCAGCTGCTTCAAGCTCCTGCTACCTTCACCTCCCTGTCATAATGAACTATACCCTTGCACTATGAATCCACCCTTTCTTCCTTGAGTTGTATTTTATCAGAGCAACAAGAAAAGAAACTAAGATACTCCCCCCAGATCCCAAGGCCTCCGATCTCCTGGAAAGCCCCCTGATGAGGTAGAGGCCATTGTCCCAACTTCAAATGAGAAATCAGGGACACGGAGAGGTTAAGCAAGGGCTCTCACAGTCAGTTGAGAGCAGAGTAGGAATGCTCACTGCAGCACTTCTCATCCCTCCCTTCCCCAACTCTTCCTTCCCAACTACCTTCTCAGGTAATCACTATGGATTTGCTCAGCAAACAATGCCTCAGGCAAAGTTGAGAAGGTAATTAATCCCCAGCCTCAAGGTCTCGTATCAATGTAAGCAGACATCTGCAGGCAGAAAAGCTCTAGAAGAAGGGAAGAGAGGGAAGCTATAGTTGAAGGTGGTTTCAGGCTTTCAGGCCACAGAGACTCTCAGCTGGGTCTGAAATTGTTTTCTAGGTCTTCAGAAAAGAACCTGGAAGATTAGCATGTTGATGCAACCTCGAATTCCATCCCTTGGGAAGTGGGAGCTGGAAGATTGGGAGTTCAAGGCCAGCCTTTAAAACAAAGGAAAAGAAGGGAGAAGGAGGGAGGAAGAGAAAAAGGAAAAATAAAGAGGATGGAATGGAATGCAGGGAGGAAAGAAGGGAGTGACGGAGGGATGGAGGGAGAGAGGGGATGACGGGAGGGAGGGATGGAAGGAGAGAGGGAGGGAAAAATATAGACTGTCCCCAAAGTAAGTGTTGGGGGAATCTAGAAAGAGAAGGTAAGGAAAGGGAGAAGGAGGTATAGGTTACAGAAAGCACCCTTAACCCATGATAGGGCCCAAGAGCAGACTCACCAAAGCAATCAGGTACAGCACTAAGCAATGCAGAAACCTTAACTTCACAGGATTCTTCAAGGCAGAGGGGATTTCTGCTGTGACAAAGTGATGAACAACACACCATACAAGGAGTCCCAGTAAGAAAGTGGGCAGCCCCACGAGCAGCAACAGCCACAGGACAGCCATAGTCCTGAGGCCCTCGGGACCTGATACCCTGAGGAAACTACCTCGGGAATTTGCGTGAGGAGAACCTGACCGAGTTTTATGGACCACTGCCTCCACCTCTTTGCTTCTAAACCCTTGACACAGTGGCCTGATCTTTCTTCTATAGCCACTCAAGCCAGCCAGCTGCAGCCAGAAGAACCTGCTCTCCAAGGAACAAAACTCCGGGAAATCATACCTGGACCTCCAAGGTTTTGCCAAGAGGGCTTCCCAAGAATGGCAGGATGGGACTCTTACCTGCATCCCAGATCCTAGGGGTCCCAGCAAGAAACCTAACAGGTTCTGTTGATCCCCATAGCCTCAGACAAGTGCCAGAAAAAGCTCTTGACCCAGAGGAAAAGCAGAGCAGGGTTTTTAAAACTAAAAGGCACAATTACATCATACCAGGTGCAAGTCAGATTAAAAAAAAAAAAAAAAAAAAAGAACCACTCTACCAGGGGCAGGTTAGTCAGATAACAAAGATTCATCAATTTTCAATAAGAAAGCAAGTCTCTCAGGATTATTGAAACATTGACCTACTGATCGATGGTTTACCAGAGGAAGGGAGTGAGTACATTAAGCACAAAATGCAGTCAAGCACAAAATGTAACCAGCTTGGGGGAATGGAGTGATTTTTGCTAGTTCAGTTACCACAGCTGCTGACAGATGAAGAAGACAATGACCATGCTGTACCCAGGGGCTAGAAGCCCACAACAGCCCTAAACAGGTTCCCTCCTCCCTAAACGTGTAAGGTGGAGATGTTGAGAGCTCCTGAAGGGGAGAAAAGACTCAGAACTCAGAGAAGACCCTGACACAGTTGACATGGCAAACACAACGTAAATGTATGTCAAGCCTGTTTTCAAAAATGGTTCCGATCATGACTTCCTCTCTTGGAAGAAAACAATGTAGGTGAAAATTATCCCCAAACCAGCACGATTCTCAGTTTAGGAATCAGATGCTGGAGGAAGCTCAGTTTTTCCTAGGGAGGTAGGCAGTTCTGCCTGGGTCTTAGGACCTGGGAGATGGGCAAACTGACTCCAACTGCTCTTCAGTAGTTGGCAGGCCCACCTGATTCAGAGACCAGAGCAACAGGGTAGGATGCAATGGATGCAATAGGTGGCGACCAGGCACATGAGACTCAGAAAATGAACTTTAAAAGTCTGAGGAACCTGAAATTTACAAGATTGACAAGAATCTCTTTCCCCTAAGGTTTTAGAAGTAGTAAAGAACAGCTGGGGGAGGGTACTGACAAGTGTACATCTGACAGAAGAGGCTCTCCATCTGCCTAGCAAGCTGCAAATCATGCAGACAGTGCCAACATTTCTTGGGAGAGAAATCAACCAGCCACCTGCTGACTGCTGAGGAAGTTCTTATAGGGGGTTGGGGAATGTGGAAGGTGGCCAAATAATCTTTACAGTTGCAGGGGAAGCAACTTGCACTGAGACAGCTCTTACATCAGTGGATCTGGGGTGCAGGGGCCTGTTTATCTTCTAAAATTATCTGGGGAACAGCTTTGTGCAGAGACAGCTCTAAATGCAGCTGCCTTGCCAGTTCCTGTTTTGCAACAGGGCCCTCAGGCCTGTGCTGTGGTTAGGCACAATGTTATGATAAACTAGTCTCAAAAAGACGAAAACCTCGACATCTTGATAAAAATTCTGATCAGAATAAATTATGACTAAAATTTAAAACAATTAAAATAATTGTTAGGGTTCGGATCTGCAGCAACCCCCTCCCCAGTGCAACAGGGCCTCATGGTTTTGCAAGCCTTCTGAAAAACAGGAACTGAGTTAAAGAACACCCTGACCATCTGAAGATAAGATAAACAGACTTCTACCCTATGACCCAAGACCCGGTTGCTGCAAGAGCTGTTTCAGCACTGCCTACTTCCCCTCTGATAATTTTAGAAGAAAAGCAGGCTCCTTATCCCATGACCCAGATCCTGGCTGATGCAAAAGGGTAGTTTGACAAAGACTGTTACCTCCTTATTATGCCTAGGCTCCCTCTCCTGCCTAACTTGTTTAAAATAGTTTCCTGCCTTCTGAATTCCCCAGAGCCTCTATAAAAGTCCCCAGCCAACAGCCTGTGGACTGACAGCTCCTCCATCCTGAGTGAAGGACTGTCCTGTGCATTTTCTCTGCCAATAAACTCTACTCCACCAGAGTTCTTGTCTGTGTCCTGATGCATTTACCCAGAAAGGAGTCAGAAAACTTCTTTATTCCTTATTCAGGCATGAGTATCCCAGAAGCAACAAAGGCTTTTAGATCCTCTGGGGCCCCAAATCAAAGTACAGATGAGTATTTTATATAGTCAATTTTACATCATTATTTTATGGCTAACACCTGGGACCTATGTTTCTTTCTATAATGGGCCACATTATCTCAGGAACTTCCTTCCTGAGTTCACTCACCCAACAGTTTTCAAAGTAGATATCCCAGGACACATGCTGCAAGTTTCAGTCTACAACTACGTGAGGCTAAGTGGGCTAGAACCCCATCAAATGGTCATTTTAGTTTACAAAAACAGATATCCACAAGGCGGCTATGAACCGTCCTTAACTCCAGTTCCAGGGGAATCCGAAGCTCTCTTCTGACCTCCACGGCACTGCATGATGTGGGTACACTCACATACATGCAGGCAATACACTCATACACATAAAATAAAAATAATAAGTAAAATATTTTAAAACAAAAACAAATATCCACAGAACTTTAAATTTCTGATACATTTGATCTACACTTCTCTTGGACTAAGTGGACCTGGTGCCTCATCAAACCATTTGGTGAACTTTCCATTTGTTTAGTTTTACATCTTTATCCACAGTCACATGTAGTGATTGGAAAGCATCACAGAGCTTCAAGACATTGCTGAATAACAAAATATCTCAGGGGAGTACGATTTCCATGGAGCAATTAAATATCTCTGAGCATTCCATGGATATATATTTTTTTTAGATGAAACATATTTATTGCTGCATATAATTAGTCATATACATTGAGCATAAAATTTCCTGTGGGCAATAATAAATGTGATTTATAAGCTACAAATTTGTGGGAAGTCTATTTCTTATTCTCTCTTTTTTTTAATCCTAACTAGTTTGTTGGGCTTGCTAAAAGAGCATAGGTTGGGGGTTTATTTACAGAAGAGTGCCCCCCCATTTATGGCTTCACTGGAAAGTCCACACTCAAATATAGATAATGTGACTTCCCAACAGTCACACAAAATTACAAGAGAGGTTCTTGGTTTATACACCCTTAGCTCCTCCCCCACATGCAGCTAAGGTCGACTGATTGGGTGGGAGGAGTAACTGACTCCCCCCTTAACTCCTTGATGAGCATAGGAAGCAGAGGTGACTATAGCTTGCCAGCATAGTGGTTGGAGGACACTTCTAGGTGACACTCCACCCCTTCCTCTGGCTCTTCCATTCTTTCTGCCAACCTCTTTCACAAAAGTCCCTGAGCCTTGGAGGGGGTGGTAGGTGTAGGATGATCTTCCTCCTATTGTGGCAAGGCACTGAACTTTTGGGTATCTGCATCATCTATTTTCCATGTGCTGTTGGCCCATTTCAGTGAGATTCCATCTACTATAAAAACACAAACAACAAGAAGCAAGAACATCTAAACAGCAGCTGCTATAATAACTTAACCTACGGGTGTAAAAACAAATGCTTAGACGGTACTTTAGCAGGTGCATCACATCCATCTAACAAAACAACTGAAGTGGCTTCCAGACTCTTCTGAATTCCATGCGTATTGCACAACACAGGGTTTGCACCAATCACAGCAAATCTTTCATTTCATGCAAAAGAATGTTTCTGTTTGTAAAGGCTACAGCACATCCCTTTTGGACTAATCATAGTAGTCCTTCTGTTAGGCCTCCAGGGGAAATGCTTCCCCTTCTGGCTTCATGAAAATGATTGCATGTAGGCATCCAGCATTCACCAAGACTTGTGATTTAAAAACTCCTTTAGAAGAACTGGAGAGATGGCTCAGCAGTTAAAAGCACTGGCTGCTCTTGCAAAGGACCTAGGTTTAGTTCCCAGCACCCACATGGTGGCTAGCAATCATCCTTAACTCCAGTTTCAGGGGGACCTGACATCCTTTTCTGGCCTCCACAAGCATTTCATGCATATGGTGCACTTACATACTTGCAGGCAAAACATTCATAAACATAAAGTAAAAATAAATCAAAACAATGTTTAACTCCTGTAGAAACTGTTTGAAGTAGTCATGGTGGGGGTTGCATGCTCGCACCATCTGTAGAGTGTGCAAAACTGCTGGTGCTGGTATGAAAAAGTCTGGTTGGCAGTTAACTGATAGTTCTTTTGCTCAAGTCAGGGGAGCAAGGGAGAGCCCAGCAATTAGAGAAGGCTTAGGTTCAGTCCTTAGCACTGCAAATAATAAGAACAGGGTAAATACAGACTTTATAATAGATGATATGGGATAATCTGGGTATCCAGATGAAAAAGTATAAAACTCAGCCCAGGACCAGTGAGATAGTTCAGCAGGTAAACTTACTTGCCACCAAGCTTAACAATGACCTGAATTCTATCCCCCAGAACCACGTGGTAGAAGGAGAGAACCAACTCCCACAAGTGGGCTTCTGATCGCCATACATTGGCTATGCGTTCATGTATGTATACACATGCACACACATACACATACCCACAGACACACACACAAAAGAAATAAATGCAATAAATATAAAACTGAACCCATATACACATTATATAATATATAATAAACTCCAAATTCAGCCAATATGAAAATTTTATAATAAAATTATAAAGGAAACAGAAGAAGGACTGGAGGAATTCTTTTTATAACTTTGTAGAGGGAAAAGGATTTCACAACTATGCACAAAACAATACAGAATTTATAAGAGAAAAGATTAATGATTTCACTTGAGTTATTCCCTTAGCAACAGCTGATTTCAGGTTCATAGTTGCTGTCTCTGGTGCAAAGGACTTGGTAAGTGTTATTGATTTT